TCACTGTTTCTAGCAATCCATATTAATATATAATACTATTTCATACTCAATGCAGCCAAAACAGTTTGTCTCGTCTTTGAACGCTGATGGTTTCTTCTTGTAAGTATTTCTTCATGGCAGCCTCCTGACTGAAACCCTATCATAATGTTACAAAAATTTTCTGAGATTCAAAAAGTTTTTCTCATATTACAATCCACGGCCTGCTGGTTTCATCTGTGCTGCTCCGCTATAAATACAAGGGCGAACTCTTAACTTGCTGCTGAAGATGGAGACGGAACGCTTATGGGAGTGTCCTGAGGGCTGTGATGTTGATTCTTAATTCAACACTTAATTCTGCTAGAGTGAGTAATATCTTTATGTCAAACATCTTGCTGCTTGCTTGCTTGTTGTACCCTACCGGGACATCACACAAGCGACAAACACCCGGTGACACAAAGTGTCATCATGCGGACAAGGATCACCCGTGGAGGGGTCCCAGAAACCCTTTTCAGCCTTTATGGCAAGCTATATTCGGGGCCCCCGGCAAAAGCTATGGTGGGGTTTCATATAACGAAAAATTTCATTTTTACACTAGCATCCGCTGAAACAATAATGAAGGTGATTTTGCAAAAAGCTGCGTGCAGTAACAGATGGAGCCACTGTTTTCGTGCATGCCCCACCTTGTTCTTCTGCAGCATGCTCATTGAGTCACAGAGCAAACGTGCTTTGATGAACTCCTGAGTTGTCAGTAATTCTAGGACCTTTGTCACAGCCATGAGCTCCACTGTCATTCTGCTGGTGGTAGAAGCAAAGGCTCTACTGTCTTCTTTGATGACTTTACTTTTGGTTCTTTCCGTGAAATAATAATTAGTTCATGTAATGGAAAATAAAGAGCATATTTATGACTTTCAGCTGCCATTTACTGGGCGTACATTGGGAGACCTGGGCAAGGCGATCACGGAGAGTCCTATCCCCCCGTCTGATTGTATCTCGGGTGAGGCTGCGGCTTTTTTAAAACAGGTAATGGAAAAACAAATATCTCTTTGCTTAATTATCTTTGTATGTTTCATTTAGAAGACTGTTAGCTGCTCTTTTGTTATTTCCGTTGTTGCAGCTGGTGTTGTTGTTGTTATTTTTCTTCTTCTTCTTTCTCTACTTCTTCTACTTCTACTTCTACTTCTTCTTCTTCTTCTTCTTCTTCTTCTTCTTCTTCTTCTTCTTCTTCTTCTTCTTCTTCTTCTTCTTCTTCTTCTTCTTCTTCTTCTTCTTCTGCTTTTCTGCTCCTTCTCCTCCTTTCTCCTCCTCCTCCCACGTTTTACTCTTTTCCTCCATGTTATTGTTGATTTTTCAATGTTTGTATTCTGTTCTCACCTCGTCCTAGATTCTGCACAAAGACCCTCGCCGTCGCCTAGGTTTCAGTGCATTTGACTCTCTGATGGACCCAGGCACTGCCGAAATCAGGGAGCATCCATTCTTCCAGGGCATTCATTGGAAAAATGTGTCGAATCTCTTACTGCTGCCGCCTCTCGTTCCCCGAACAGGTGAAGTACCAGCACGTTTATTTGGTCAAACACGGCATATACAGGGCGTTTGTATATCATCACTACACTTTTCATGTAGAACAAATTTAACAAACGAAGTACATAGTTAGTCTTTCCTCCTGAGCCTAAGGCGGCGCATAGAGCAGACGTCATGGCTCTACATGTCTGACTGTTCGTTGCCACCTGGTTTAGGTCTTGGATATTCATTAGGCCCATCGTTGAGCCTTCCCTGATGATGGTTCTTCGCGGAGCCTCTCTTGGTCTTCCCCGTTTCCGCTTTCCTTGCGGTGTCCATATGAGGGCTTGATGGGGAGTCTGGTCTTGTCCATTCTGAGTACATAGCCGATGTAGTTCCAGCGACGCTTTCTCATAAAATGTGATACATTCTCTTGCTTGGTCTCCTGTCTTATTTGCCTATTGGATCTGAATCTGGACAGTGGAGATTTAGTATTCTTCTACGACATCTGTTTTTATAATTGCCTAATTTTTTTTAAATCAAGAGCAACTGTTGCTTTCCAACTCTAGCATCCATAAGTTAGTACTGGAAAGTACCTAAGGTCATCAAAAATGAGCACCAGTCAGTCGTGAAGCAATATACAGTGAATTGCTGTTGTCTGCTGAAGTAACTCCTTGCACTCAAAACAAACTGATGTTATTAACGGAAGAAAGAATATATTTTTAAGCAAACAACATTACTATTAAAGAAACAAAAGCAGATACGCTGCAAAAGACATTTGACAATATGAACAGACGTGTACATTCTTGTCTTGAAGCCCATGGTGAACATTTCCAACACTCGTTATAATGAATATCTCTTTGGTACTTTCCAGCTTCCCCAAAACTGTGTTAGTCCATAGCAGTAACCCCTCATCATCATTATGTGCCCTGCCAGCTGGCTTAGGCGCTCGTGCATCTCCACAGATGACGATCCCTGGTTGCCTGAAACAACTCTCTTGATGATATCCCTCAATGCCATTGTTTCAGCGCATCCATCATCATCTCTCTTGGTCTGCCTCTACCCCTTTTCCTACTGATCTTTCCAGTTGTCACACTGTTCTCCAATGTCTGTCTTCTCATTATGGGGCAAAAGAACAGTGTTTGTCTCTTTCTCATTGTTGTATATAAAAATCAACTTTCAAACAATCGTTGTTAGTTACTCTGGAGGTCCAAGGTACTCGTAACTTTGGTCTTAGAAACCACATATATGTTGCTTCTAAATTCTTCTTAATTTATTCACTGACATTCCAAGATTCGCTTCCATACAGCAGAACCGGCTCTATGTAACATTTTAGCACTCTCTTTAGCAGTATCTACTGTAACTAATTTCATGACCTCTGAAGCACACTTTTGATGATGTCTAGTACTTCGTTTTTCAAATTCGTTCTGCATGAAAACTGTAGTGAGACTTTACAAACATCCTGTAGTCAAGTAAGGGTCACTTGTCACACAGTGGTGTACTCGGCATATGACTCAATACTCATTTATCTGTAGATCCGTTGGTCCTCGATTGATGATGGGACTATCATCACACTGCCTCTACTTAATAACAGGCCTTTAACTCTTGGTACCCACTTAAGGTTGGGTGGCCAGCCAAGGTTATTTACGACCAGTACGAAGATGGGTACAGGATTTAAGTGACTTCTTGAATATGAAAGTGCACGAGGCGGGAGAGCTAGTGAGAATCTGAGTGGTTTTTTTTTCAGACAGACCGTGATGAGAGCGACGTTCTGTAAGGGACCTACTACATGATGATAATGATACACACCTTAGCGGAACTTACAAGCAGACAATGTAACAACGAAACTTACGTTATGGGGAAAAAAATTGTAAAGATGACCAAATGTGAGATTTGGCAAATACCATTAAACTCAACACTACTGTGCAATATAGAGACCTAAACAACAAACAAGCAATTAAAACTTCGAACCACGACTCTGGAGACGTGGGTGGATATACGGAATAGATCGATGTGATCACATGCCAGTGAAAGGTGGAGAATCACTAAAGATTTTGGACGAAAATTGAATGCATTAGAAAACAAACACCTGAGGAAAATGTTGAACATAGAATAGGATCAAATCAAGAAGAGAAAGGAAAAAGTTAAACATAGAATTGGATAAAATCAAGAAGAGAAAGGAAAAAGTTGAACATAGAATTGGATCAAATCAAGAAGAGAAAGGAAAAAGTTGAACATAGAATAGGATCAAAACAAGAAGAGAAAGGTAAAAATTGAACATAGAATGGGATCAAATCAAGAAGAGAAAGGAACAAGTTGAACATAGAATGGGATCAAATCAAGAAGAGAAATTAAAAAGTTGAACATAGAATGGGATCAAATCAAGAAGAGAACGGAAAAAGTTGAACATAGAATATGATCAAATCAAGAAGAGAAAGGAAAAAAGTTGAACATAGAATGGGATCAAATCAAGAAGAGAAAGGAAAAAGTTGAACATAGAATGGGATCAAATCAAGAAGAGACAGGAAAAATTTGAACATAGAATGGGATCAAATCAAGAAGAGAAAGGAAAAAGTTGAACATAGAATGGGATCAAATCAAGAAGAGACAGGAAAAAGTTGAACATAGAATGGGGATCAAATTAAGATGATAAAGGAAAAAGGAGAAATGTTGGGCCAAACGCTGGTAACAAAAGTGATAAGGCAGAGAAGATGGTGCTATATTGGGCACATCCCTGAGGAGAAACCAGTAGAGAACCACAGATCAGGCACTAACATGGAAAATCAAGAGACCGGGGAAGCGAGCACGCCAAAAGAAACTCTAAAACGATCGCTGATGAAAGACATGATAACATTGGAGTGATTACACAGGATAGAAAGGAATAGATGTTTGGTTTGGTCGAAACAAACAGATCAACATCATGGCACACATAAGCGCTCCTTTCTTTTAAAAAAAAAACTTAAGTCCGAGTGCAAAGAAGCTAAGCACAGTGCACAGGCTCTGTAGCATCGACGAGGATCCTGAAGTACTTCAGGTAGATTTTTAACTCCAAATTTTGCCCGGGCAGCGCCGTTATGCTACTCTTTTTGATTTCCAACTACCAAGGGATTTTTTTACCTGCACAACAATGCACACGGGCGTCTGATCTCACTACCCAGATACCAGGGAGGAATTACTAGAAGTCCAAGTCCACGTGAAAATATCCTAGCCCTTGCCGGGTATTGAACCCGGAACCTCTAGCACTCTAGGCGGACACCGTGCCTTGAGGCCACGCAGCCCCCGGATATAGGTATCAACTGCGAGTATATCCTATATATAAATATCAAAAACGCATTTCGAGTTGCAGAGAAATAAAAATATATGCAGGTTATCAATGCAGGTAGTTTAGTTTATGTTGCGGGTGTTGTTTTATCGTTTCATAGTACTGAAGCATTTTGTTTTTAATGACGGGGTTTCATTTATTTCTATGCACTTTTAGTGACAGCAAAGGCGGAAGATATATTTCGTGATACAATCAAATCTGGTAGCAACATCAGCCCAAGAAGCCCAAGCGCAACAGGAAAGGCTGCAGTTACAAAAGTCGCCAAGATTTAATTTTCTGATCATGTTAATGCGGTCTAGAATCTAGAAGTTCAAAGGGACCAGGATTTTAGCTCATTTTCTGACCATTTTGTTAAACAGGCATGCAATAGAGAACTGCTGATTTTAATGGTGCCTATTTTTAATGATTAATGTGTTCTGGTTGTGCCAGAGTTGACGTGGTACTGAATGTTCTTAGCCGCATTAATACATTTTAACTTTTGCCTTGTGCGAAAAATAACAATAATAATAATTATTATTATTTTTATTATTAACGATAATATGTGGCATTTTTGTCCTGTTTGTCTTTCATCCCCCCGATCCAACTAACGCCAAGCCTTTTGTGGACCGGTTCACGATCGCTTCGAATTTATCAGCTTAAGTTTGCTTCTAGTTGAGGTAGCCCGTTTCAGACAAACCTTCCCTATTCGGCTCTTACGACACGCAATTGATAGTGTTGCTATTTTTTTTTCCCCTTATATGTCGGGCTAACACAAGGGCTGTGAGATAATTCTAGTCATTTCGCTTTGTTTATGATTGTAGAACACAGTCTGAAACAGTAACTGGGAAAAAAAAAACGACTTCAGCACCGGTAATTGCCTACAGGCAGAGCTTTTATCTTTCTCCTGCTGGTACGCAGTACAGCACATTTTTTCTTGGTTAAGCGTCAATATTTCAGCGCTACTGTAATGGATACTGTGATGAGTTCCGACACCCGTTTTAGACAGGCATCCGTTTTATACACCTTTTAAACACTTTATTCTGAGTACAGACAGAAAAAAAAAAAAAAAAAGTAGAAACAGCCTGCCATTGCTCGAGCAAAGATATCATCATCATGAAACAGGTCCTTTGCAGAACGTCGATCTCATCACAGTGTGCCTGAAAGAAACTCGGTCTCTCGCCAGTTCTCCCACCTCATGTACTTTCACACTCAATGAGTCACTTATATCCTATGCCCATCTTCGTGTCGGTCGGCCCCTGCCCCTCCTTCCTGGTACCATGCCTTCTGTATTAAATTTGTCCAGTCCGTCGTGGCGCTTGATATGACCGAAATATGTCAGCTTCTGAGATAGGATTCTGTTTATTAGCCAATCTACCTTGATGTTCAGATCTTTCAAGATGTCAATATTTCTCCTCTTCTTTGTCCAAGATATTCTGAACATCTTTCTTTAGCATTTCAGATCAAAAGCCCCTATTCTCTTTTTTTAAGGACTGAGAGATAATCCACGACTCACATCCGTATGAAATAAAATCGGTAGTTTAGTAGTTAGTTGCGAACATGACGCTCAAGTTTTGTTTATTTTCGTTTTGTAACATAAATTAAATTACTTATAATGTTGATTTCAATTCTCTGTTACAAGAAAAAAAAAAAACGACATCGAAAACAGCAAATATACAAGTCAGATGTTAAAGACAATAAATTTGGATTAAAATGTATACTTAAGTAAACAAAATAGAGAGCAAT